TGCCCAATTTCTTTCTACCAATGCAGGGGTAGTAACTCTTTCTTACAAAGAGATCCAGTCTTCCACCTTCTGCAGAGCGCAGGAGGGTCTCATCCCAGTCATTAAGTGCCTTTCTGATGTGTCCATGCCTCTGTTACCCAGGCAAGGAAATCTGCCCATGAATGGATTGAAAAACTCAACAGCAGAGCTCCAAGAGAGGAGGAAAAGAGTGAAGAAAACCCACCGTTGGATTCCGGGGATGCTGAGCAGGACGTTAAAATATCAGTAGAGGTAACTGGGCAAAGGAAAAAGAGAAAATTGATCTACTTGGGGAGAGGCTGGTGCATTATCCTATATTGAACTCTAGTTGCTGACGGGTTTCAACCTACAGTTACAAAAGTGGCGAGGAGTCCTATGGCACCCTATAGACTAACCGACGTGTTGGAGCATAAAATGCATGCATCTGACGAAGTGGGTCTTTGCCCATGAAAGCTTATGCTCCAACACGTCGGTTAGTCTATAAGGTGCCACAGGACTCCTCGCCGCTTTTGCAGATTCAGACTAACACGACTACCTCTCCGATACTCCTACAGTTACAGGCTTTCCATTAACTCCTAGATATTGGGGGGAGGGGAGAAAGCAGAGTGGAGAGGGTTTTATTTTAAAAGAATAGAACACCTATTGAAATGAGCGCTCTACCTCCTGCAGGATATTCATGCGTTTGCCATTAGAAGTCTGGCTGAGCTGACCGCCTACGCCATTGAAATGTTCCACAAAACTGCAGCCTTGGTCCTCCATGGTCAGCAGCAAGAGGTGTCAGCCCCTGGCCGAGCCAAAGCCCTTTCCCAGTAAGTCCTTTTAATTCCTCTGCTACCTGGCTAGGTTTGCATGCTACTGTTGGGGTAGGCAGGACTGCGAGGCTTTTCTCCTCAGTTCTCAGCCAGCCGTTTGTGTCTGATTGCATTTACGTCAGAAATTGCTCCGGGCAGTCTTGCCTTCACGCAACAGAACTTGCCTGTCTTTCATGCATCCAGACACTTCTCAACGTCAACACATGGAGAAAGGAAAATGTTATCCGACAGCTACTGTGCACCTCCGAAAAGGGAATTGTGCCTGACACCTGTGCTAGTCTAGTAAACAGGCATTTAAAAAGAAAAACATGGTTTAAAATAGCGTAAAGAGAGCCCTCCTCTTAGGTAAAATGATTATTTAGAACTGTTTTGCTAACCTGTTGGCACATTAAATGCCTAATATTAAAATCACCCGAAGCAGGCTTATTTCACCAATAGTGCTTAAGACAAGCAGCGACTTGCTTTATTACGAGACGATTGGTGTGCATATAAAATAACTATTTATCTCTTACAAGCAGGAAGTATCGTCTTGTTTGTAACTAAAACAAGCAAGTTTCCTGCTTCCAGCTGTCCCCTTTGTTCTCTTTTCCGATATAACTTGGAACGTCTCCTGCTTCTCACACTGTGACCCTGAAGCATTTATATAAATCTTTGTTTTCAAAGAAAAAATGTACCTATGAAAGCGGGGGATGTGTGTTAGTGTTGATAATAGCGAAGTAAAAGAGAACTTTTTTTTGTGAAGTGCTTTACTGCATCATTTTTCCTGTTTCCTTTCCCAGAATGACTATTGTGCTGTGTAAGGAATTGTCTTGTCTAGCTAAGGAGTTCACTACGTGCTTAACGACGGCTGGGGTAAGACCTACTTCCAGTGAGATCGGTTGGTCCCACTTAACCTCGTGCTGCACTCAGACCATCCTGTAGTGTCCTTGAAATGCATCTTGTGCCCTTTTGTCCAGCCACACAGCTTCTCATGCGGTCTCCTCTGTGTTGTCAAAGTGCACGGGTGTGTAATCAGCGAACTTCACTGCACCCTAGTTCCTAGCAACCTTCAGATGGGTCACAGTGTCAGGCTGGAAAGCGAGTGGCGAGAAAAAGGGGCAGTTGCTGTGTGGCCCAGCGATTCAGAAGAGCCTGAGCTTCTGGCCAACACCCCTACCTCAGGAATAGCAGTGGCTAGAGCCCCGGGCCCTTTAAATCGCTGCTGGAGTGGCATGCTCTGGGTGGCTCTGAGGGCTGGCTAAGGGGGAGGAGCCATGGGGGTGGTGAGGGCTGGCTGTCCTCAGCCCCGCCCCTTTTGCCCAAGGCCCCGCCCCTTCCAGGAGCCTGGAGCTGACCCCGCCCCCCCCCCCCCCCCCCATGTCCATCTCTCAGGGTTAACTTCATGATGTTCACTGCAGAGACTTAGGGCTGTCTCGGAGAGGAACCCGCTGCTTGCCTACATACTGCCCTTTGCACAGGCAGTGCTTCTGCACAAGACCCCTTCTTCCTCTAGACCCTGCCATTGTCTTAGATGTAGCTCACGCCAGCCGGCTGTTGGTTTTTGCGGTAAAGTCGTATGAGCTTGCTTTAATGCTGGAAGCTCTCCCCACTTCTGCTGGAAGGTGGGTACCCATGAGTGTACAGAGCCTGTTTTGGTCTATGCTGGGAGGTGTGCAAGTCCATGTTTTCATCCCATGGCCCCCACCCCCAGCTGGTGTAAATCAGTACAGCAAGAGGGCTGTGCCGTTTTCTAATACGACTGAGGGTCTGGCCCTGTGCTTTGCTTCAAGGAAACGCAATCAGATTGTCAAGCAGCATGATCTCTCTCTCTCTTTCCTCTTTTCAGGTCAAAGAGAAGGCTGATGTGCTTAACCCCTTAATCACCGGAGTGTTTTTGGAGGTCAGTTACATGACACTTATGACTACAAATCCAAACTACTGGTGGAATGTGGACATGCCTGTCAATCCCCACTTCATTATCCCCCCTCTGGTCCAATTTTCTAAACCACCAGGACTCTGTTTCCTCAACTTGTAATTTACAAGGCTTAATAGACAGCGGAGGGCGCATTGCTACTATCTTCTGGGCCAGATGGGCAAGGTATTCAGCAAAGTATAAATCGATCCCTTCTGAAGCATGTAGAGAAAATGCAGCAGAGGGGATGTCCTTGTGTAAAAGGTCTGCCTCTGTCAGCTAATTGGCTCTTCTCCTTCGAACAGCTCCCGACTGTCAGCTGTTCCATGCAAGACGTTCTGCAGATTGAGACAAAACAAATTAGCGTTTCTTTCTAACCATTGTAATTTGATGAGAGTTGCAGTGTTCATCAAGCCAGCAAAACTTGATTTCTGTGGATTTCCCCCTGCCCCCCGACATGTTTTCCTCTAGGTAAATAAACAGTAACAATGCCTCAGCTAGAAGCAAGGTAGAATTACAGATGACCAACAAACAAACAAATGTGCAAAAATATTCTACCCTGTCCTTACTTGTTAACCATGGTCTGCTAATGAGACTGTCTTGAAAATTTTCATAAGAATCTGTGACGCGGTTGGGGAAGATCACGCCTAGTGCAGGGCGGGTGAGCCTGTCTCCCTTCTGGCGTGCCCGTATCATTCTCTCCAACCTGTGTCTGTAGGTCCACCCCACGGGTCTGCGGCTGGGTGGCCTGCTCACCAAAGTCAGCAAACCTACCCTGATCCATAGGGCAGTGACACCCACTGGCCCAAGTCAGTAACTCGCCCCTATTCACTGGGCAGTGTGGCCCACGGGCCTGAGTCAATAAGTTCACCCCAGCTCACAGGGTTATGTAGCACCTTGGTAAGGGACAGGTGATAGGGGAGGGGTTTACATTCCCTAGAAAGGGGCCCGGCCCCCCCCCTCTCCACTGGACCCCAACCCAGAGGCCTATTAGTGGTTGTAGCTCCAACCACTGAGTCAGTGGGGAAAAGCCCCTACCACACATGCTGACACCTGGCATTGGCTCACTCACCAGTTAGCTGTTGCCTTCCCTTGGGCTACGTCCTCCTGCAGCCACCTCACTCTGGTGCAGATCTCCGTCTCCCCTCCCTGGTCTGGGGTTTGTCTGCCCCGAGTTGCCTCCAGGCCCTTTGAAACCTCTGGCCGTCAGCCTGGGTTTGCACTGTGGCTTGCCTGGAGCAAGCATGGCACATCCTCTCCCTCCAGCCATCAGCCCCAACTGAGCTGAGCGGCTCTCTTTTATATCTGTGCAGCTGGAGCATGCCCAGTAAGACAGAAGGGGTGGGGCTCTCTTAGCCCTCAGAACAGGGTTAACCCTCTCCTGCCCAGTGCAGGGCAAATGCACCCCATCACAGGATCATATTGTGTTTAAATTCTTTTGAGCGAGAACTCCTTCCTAATTGATGTGAAAAATCCGCATCCATTGTGTGGCTGGGGAAGGGGGCTGCATCTTTCCGATCACATGTGGGGTGAAATGTTGCAGCAGAAATTTCAAACTTCCCCATGGAAAGTCTAGCTCTGAATAGCCATTCTCCATTTATCTCGAGGAGATAAGTGGGGGTCTTACACTTGAAAGCAAAGGATTTTATTAGAAGTAGAAACTGCTGGTGTCTGTTTCTGCAGCTCGCTTTTCCCTCAGGATCTGAAGATGTCCACATGTCCAGAGGTATCACCTGAATGCACCTCAGATTTCAGGCTGGGAGGTGGGGGAGTCCCTTGGAACCACTAGAGCTGTGCAGACCTGCCTATAGGAAACGCATCCTGTGTTTTATTAGAAACTCAGCCAGAGTGCATTGAAAGCCTGTTAAGCTGCAAACTGGACCACAGCTGACTTGTGTGATTTGCCATGGAACTTTGTTTCACTGGATGGTTGATAACTTAGAGGGTGAGCGTCCAACCTGAGATGCTGTGTGAAGCCCTGCCGTGCAAAATGTTAGACTTTGCCACAGCTGTAGTGGTTACCTAAAAACTGCTGTGTAGGAACCTAAAAACTGCTGTGTTCCTACCATGGACAAGCCAGGCCCTTCAGTGTGTGGCAATCCGTACGCTTCGCTACTGAACTGAGTCCCAAGTGAGTAACTTCTGATTGAGAGAGTTGGGAAGCCGTGTTCTCTGTTGGTGCATTCTTCCTTTCTGCAGCAGGGTTTCTTATGGCTTCCCCTGGTACAGCTGGTATTGAGTATTCTCAGAGACAGGATACGTACCAGATGGGTTAGTTCTGAAATGGCCTGGCCAGTCTTACAAGTCAATTGGCCACCTTTTGCCCAGTAGGATAAACTGGAGTTTAGTAGACAAAACTGAAAGCAAGCGCTGCTTCTGAGACTAGTATCCTGATACTGCATTTGTGTATTAATGATCAGTAACCATCTAGTATACACCTGTCACACAGTAAGGAAGACTGGTAGCGTGAATGTCTCCCGTGTAATTTTGTTTTGTTTTGTAGGCTTCGAACAGCGCGTCATATATCCAAGATGCTTTTCAACTACTCCTGCCGGTGCTACAGATCTCTCTTATCCAGGCTCGAACTGAATTATCACAGCAGTAACTGAATCCCGCTAATCGAGCAGAAACCAGATCTGCCCGCTCAGTCGTTCTCTTGCCTGGGAATGGGGTTGGGACAGAAAATAAACAAAGCTTTGGTCACTGTCACTACACGGTTGGGATGATAAAATACTGACTGGCCAGGTCTTAGCTGTACAATTTGTCAAAAGACGTGAGGATGCTGTTCTCGTAGTCTGGGCAATCTGTCAGGTTAAAAGTGCAGGTGGTTTCTTAGGGTATGTCTGCATTTAAACCGCTACAGCAGTGTATCTCCAGCTTTGTAATACATGAGCATAGCTACTTCCTACGCTGATAGTAGGGCTTTTCCCATCAGTCTCCTCCCCAAGAGGCACTAGCTAGGTCGATGAAGAATTCTTCCATCAACCTAGCTACGTTTCTAGGGGTGTGAAAAATCCACACTCCCAAGAGCCATAGCTGTGCTGATGTAAATTCCCAGTAGAGACCAACCCTTAGTTTGGCTGACTAACCAGTCACTTTTCTCTCTACTCTGAGTATGTTAATGAGCTCTTTCAGGAAGGGCTATTTTGAAGAAAAGTGAAGCTAAATCACTCCAGAGGAAAGATTAGGGTAGCTGCTTAAGGGATAACTCCAGGAGAGTTTGAATTTCGAGACACATGCTTATATTCCTGCTAAGTGTGTGCTGGATATGGGATACAACAAGGATCAGGGTCTCAAGAATGATTTTGGCTTTGAAAAAACAGAATCTAAGGCCTTGAAGCTCTGTATATATAAAAGCAGCTGGTTGGTGAAGGGTGCTAATCTCTTACTTACACCTCCTGTGCCTTGTACTGAGTGCTTGGATGGGACCTGGAAATATTGTCTAAGACTATCTTGCAAGATGTTTGCTTGGGGAAAAGAGTTGCAGAAAGGGGGTTACAGGTAGGCCTATGAGTGAGAAGAGAGCTGTAACGGAGCTGGTTTGTCCAGAAAAACAGGGTGCATGGCCCTGTAGAAATACGTGAAAAGCAATCAGATGGGATGGGTTCCTTTTCAAATGATTAAGTGAGCAGAGCATTTCGTGTTCCCTGTCAGTGCAACGCGACACGTTTGTCACTGTGTGTGTGAATTGTCATTTGTCACGTACCACTGAAGGGCTTGCTCAGGCAATTGTGTAAAATGACACACTGCCCTGTTTCCTGTCACAGTCAGAGGCTATTAGACCACGCCAGAGAAAACAGTTTGGCATTGGCCCTGGGACGCCTTGTCTGCCCCAGTAGTGGCTATTCTACACAAAGTGTCGTTTTTGTTGTGCTTTCATAGACCTTTCTTATTCTGTTAGTTTTTTGCACTCCTTGCTGGATGGAAACTGCCTCTTCTGCACCAAGCGGGAAAGAGAGAGGTGGCTTAAATGGAATAAGAAAGGAGGCTAAGGAGAGGAGATTGTCAGACCTGCCTTCCTCAACGTTGGCTTCTCACGAACGATGCATCTCTAGTCCCAGCCGTAGACTTCTCCAGGTTTTAGCAGGTCTTGCAAATCTCTACTCGTGGGGTTTGTGCTTCCCTGGTCTCTGTTCCTCTGATGGTTGGAGATGGTTGGTTGGTGTGTTAACTCTGGAATCAGCCGTTTGCTACGAGCTTCTCCTATTTTGTATAGTTGGACAAGCCCTTGCTTCAGCTTTGGTTGAACGATCAAATCTGTGGATGTATTGACTTGTCTAATAATAAAGCCCTCTATAGAATAAGTGTTCAATCTTTGCCTTGTCTCCTGCATCATCTTTGGGGAAAAGAGGGGATGGGTCAGAGGGATGGGAAGGAAAGAATGCCTCCCCTCCCCGACAATCACACTTTCCATATGATCTTATCTTGTACTGTGCTCATCACCAGATTGGTCTGAACACCTGAGGGTCATTTGTTTTGTGGCCAGTGCTGTTTCCTGTGTCATGAACTCATCTGGCGGGCTTGCTCTATCTTCCTTCTCCCCTGTCCTGTGGCTGGGTAGCGTTTATCTATGTAGACTAGAGGATTTATTCAGTGTTGCTCTGGTCCTTAACTGAAATAAGTTTTGCTTTTCTTCATTTCAATCGTTGCTCAGGGGTGGGGCTGGGGATGAGGGGTTCAGTAGTAGGCTGCACCGGGGAGAAAGAACAGACCCAGCCCACTCTCACTGCAGCAGCTTGGGGACAAGTGAGAAGTGTTCCTCCATTGCTGCTGCCGCTACAGCTGGGGGATGGGTGCATGACCCCCAGCTGGGGCAGGTCCAGGTTCATCTGCCCCCTGTGCTCCCCAGCCAGAGTGAGGAATTAGGCAAACTGTGCACTTTGCCCTCCCTGATGAAGGGGAACAGCCAGCAATGTTCCTGTACAAATCAGGAGGAGGGGGAGAATTTCAGCCTCTCTGCCCTCTCTAAGGGGTGCCTGGGGAGGGGGAGGCTTGGGGCTGGAGCATCCTCTATGGGGGGTGGTAAGGGCCCTCAGCCAGCCCTTTTCAGCTACCTGGTGCTTCTGTCCCTTTTCTGTCTGGTTTTCTGAGAAGCAGTCCCATTCCAGGCACATCCCATTGTCCTGGCACAACCAAATCCTGACCTTGCTTTACGTGATGAAACGAGGAAGCTGTATCCCGAAGTGGACGGTTGTAGCTCTTACCGTTTAGGAGGAGTTCTTGAACAGACAGACGGATACACAGACAAACTCTCAAATAGCAGCTAGGCGAGGCCGGAGCTCCATTTGCAATCTGAGGCTACACCTGCGATCAAGGAAAGTATGGATGCTGAAAGTATGCAGTTTGACATTTTGCTCCCTTTGGCACCCTTGGCTGTGGTTTTCAACCCCATATTTACCAGGTCTTACGTCGTATCCCCCATAGTTACCCAGAGAGATTGGCTTCTTGGCGGATGTTGTAAATTCTCTATGATGTGATCCTCTCAATGATTCAGACTTGATAAGCTTCTGATTAAAAGGAGGTTTCTGTGCTCACTGACTGAACACTGTTTTTGTTCTCATGTCACTGTTTGAAAACCACCGAACACTGACCCGGGATTCGGTCCTGGCTTAGTACCATGAAACTGAGTAGCTCCTACTAGGAATGTGAAAGGTTAACCAGTTAATTGGTATGTATCACCCTTAATGGGTGATGCTTACCAGTTCCGCTTAACTGGTGTTTTTCTGGAGCAGCTCCCTGCCTGCCATGGGTAGGGGCTGCTCCAGCCCCCCGGGGCCCGCTGCAGACGGGTGCTCCAGCCTGGCCAGAGCAGCCCCTGTCCACGGCAGGTTCAGGTGCGCCGCAACGGGTTGTTCTGTCTGGGCTAATCGACTAACTGCTTAAACATCACATGTAACTGATTAATCAATTAAACAGGATTTTTCATCCCTAGTTCCTACCGCAGTAAGAGAAATGCAAGACGACAGAATCATATTGCTGTCCCTGCTCGGGGTTAACTGCCCCAGTTCCCAGGGTGTAAGGTGTTAGAAGTCATCTGATTTCAATGGGAACGCCTATGGAGAAAGGCACTTGACGTGCACGCGGGTGGCAGAATCAATCTCTGGATTAGCTGGACTCAGGTTGCTAGTGCTAGTGAAATGGCACCTGATCATTTCTGTCGAGTGGGAAATAAGCAATGATAGCAAACCAGGTATTAAGGAGCAGTCCTTGAGCCTCTGCAAAATCCCAGCCTCCCGGATCAAGCCGAAAGGTTGAGAAATACAGGAAATGAGAGGCAAGCAGAAAGAATGAAGGAGAATAGGCTTTGAGGCATCAGCAGCTTTTAAAACCCAGACAACGTTCTAGTGAGAAACACCCCAAACAGCTAAACGTCTTTAAGGATTAAGGTGGCAAGACCGTCTGGCTAGATACTCTACAGGAACAAAGAGCCAACGGTCCAATAACGTGTTACTAGCTCATAAAAGTGGTCGATCGAGTTTCCCAAAGAAAACAGCTATAGACTGAATGTCAGGGCGTACTCGAAGGTTTTGTCAGACTGTCCTCTGTTGCAATGAATCGTGATCCTATTACTCAGCCTTGGCTAGTGCCTGAACTTGATGAGAGCCGGAAGTAAGGTGAGAGCGCTTGGTGCTTGTTCTCTGGGGAGGAGAGAGGCTTGCTAGACGAGATAACGGTTGGATAAGATGCAGGCAACGAGCATGCAGTGGGGAAAATGTAATTATTTTCTTTCATTCAATGAGATTCTGCTACCCTGGGGGCATGGGAAACGGCTTTCTGCCAGCTGCTGTGCTAATATTAAAAAAAAAATCTATATTTTGCACTGGCTGGGATTCTGGATTGTTCCTCCCGACACTTGCCCAGCTGTATCCTGCGCGTGGATGGTTTTCTGATTTAAGATACAAATGTGGCTCATGGGCGCATAAAATATTTTTCCAGAGAAGCGCAGTCAGCTTCCAGCTGGCTTGCAAAGGAAGATACAAAGCGCTGCCACCAGCAAGTGGTGGCAGGGTTGCCAACCATGTACCAAATGCTCCAGTGACGAGCTGGGCTGTCTTGAGTGTCTGAGATAAACAATTAAATGCCATGACTCAGGACTAAGGAGAGAAGATCAACCAGCAGCCACAGGGGACAGTGATGTTGAAAGCTTTCTCGGAGGTACCCAGGTGCTACATAAACCAGATTGTATACACAGCATGGCTGTGTCTTGGGTTTGGCTGTAGCGTTGGTCTTTTCCATGGAAGGATGCGCTCCCCAAGCATGAGCAACAGTATCCTGTTTGTGGGCATTACTCAAAATGGAGACTCAGATCTTGTCCAGGTGGGAAAAATTTTTGTCTGGAATAAATTTAGGGCAGGGATGGGTATTGGAGAGGGTGTGTGGGAGTGGGGGACTTTATCTTGAATCCACACACTGGAAGTTCTGTTTTTGAATTATTTGGCATCTTACTCTGCATTAATGACCCCCATTTGGAAATGTTAGTGGCCTGCTTAAATCGAAACCTCCATGCTCCATCTTCTGCTGGTAAAGGTTCAAGGCAACAGATTATATCAAGGTGCACCTGGCATTTGGGAGATGGCCAGTGGCTTGTACACATCACCTATGCATGACGTTGCTTCAAGTCACCAATCACAGTTTCCCAGAAGGAGGGTTATGTCTATAATAACTCCTGTTATTCCAAAATAACATAGTACAGCCTCTCTCTGAGTTACGAACGAGTTACAGACCAAACACTTGGCCGTAACTCGGACCCCATTGAGTTACACACGACTGCGCTGTTCGTAAGCGCAGGTTGCGTTCGTAACTCGGGGACTGCCTTTACGACCGCTCCATGGGAGCTTTGGTCGTAAGTGCAAATGGTTGTAACTCGACCATTTGCAACTTGGGGAGTGGCTGTACACATCTACCTACAAGCAGTTATTTCAACATAATGTCAAAATAATGTTGAGCTGGAGGACTGCTTACTCCGACTCCTGTGAATCTCACTGTACAGGGAGTAAAGGCAATTGGGGGAAGAGTGCTCTGTCTCGAAATCAGTGCTGTGTAGACAGAGCCAAAAGTCAAAATAAGCTATTTTGATTTATGCTACACAATTAGCATAGTTCAAGTTGCCTAGCTTATTTCGAGTTTGTGTAGACATGCCCTGGCTGAGCCAAACTAGACATTCCACCTGGTTGAAATGTCTCTTTAGAGGCGATATGTGACTCCCACTAGGAATAAATACGTTGGCTGTGTGACTACCTTCCCCTCTTGGGTCTTCTGTGCTTTGTGGAGTTCAGCACATGCTACAGTGATGAGTATCACGCTGAGCAAAGTCAAGCATAGCTCAACCGTAGGAGCAAACTAGCAAGAAAGTCTTGCAGCCAATTGGACTGCTACAGTCTGGCCTAGATAGAGAGACCATCTCTGATGCAGTCTGCTCACAGGCCTTCTACGGCTTCCTGAGCAACCGCTGTCACATTGAATTATCCCCAAAAGATGTGAGAAATGTCTTGTGCTCATGACGACCAATGCGGCAGCGGCAGGGACTGATTTTCTGCACTGGCTGAGGCTTCTGAGTGGACCTCACGGGTAAGCCCAAATTGAACAGTTTTAGCCCCCAGCCTGGAGCTGGCAAAGGCTTGGATCACCATGAGGAGGTCATCAGCAGAAAGGCAAAGTCGCAATCTGTGTGTCCCTGGAAGATGACAGAGTGCAGACTAAGCCACTTTTGACACCTGGGAATTGCAATGTACAAGGTTGGATCCCATGGGAAGCTGAGACTGCAGACGGGGTCCCCAGCTTCTCGTCTTCCAGCTGAGAAATGTTAGTGCACCTCTGGGACCCACCAGCTCCTTGTCCTAAATACTCACGCTGGGTTGCTTCATTTTTCTGTGGCTGCCTTAGTCCCCTTCTAAAGACTCAGTTGGGCTTGCAACACTCCAAGTTCCCTCAAGCCCAGGTCTTGGGTCCCCGCTTGGTCTGGAGCATTGACAGTGGGCTTTCTTTACGTGTCATATCTAAACGGTGCTAGTCATCGTAAGAGAGGCTCCGGGTCAATGATCAGGAATAACCAAAAGCAAAGCAGAGTTAATTACGTTCTAAGGATTCATTCTTTACGATACCTTGGAGAGTGATTCCTGCAGAGCAGGGAGTGTTGGAGGGAGTTTGCCTGGAGGGTGGGCATTTCAAATCCAGATGTGTGTCTGGAGTTGCTGGGCTTCGTCGTTAGGAGAATAAACTTTGGAAATTAGAGTGGAGTTCCGCAGGGGCAGCACAGCCAGCCAGCTGGGGGGTATCATCAGAAGAAGAGCAGTACCCCGGAATTGAAAGGCCAGCTGACCGGCTCTACTCTGCAGGGACATGCTGGAGAGGGATTGGACTGGAATGCGGCGTGGTCTGACTAGAGGGGGTGCTGCTGCCTGCAGGCTCCAGGAGGTGCACGGACATGCCATAGCTCCTCACCCCTTCGCTGCCTGCACTTCACTGTGAACTGGGGCTACCACTGGCAATTATTAATCGGGGAATTGAATCATCTGTGCAAATTCCAGGGCAGCAGTAGGGGGAAAGAACCTAACGTGTTTTAAGACTGAGCTTGATAAGGTTACGAAGGGGACAACCTGATGAGATTGCCTGCAATGGCTTATGGTTCATCCGCAAGTGCTATTAGCAGATATCTCCAGCGGCTGGATTTGTGACACTCGAGGGGAGGGCTCTGAGTTACTAGAAAGAATTATTTCCCATGTGTCTAGCTGGTGAGTCTTCCTCAAGTGCTCAGCATCTAACTCGGTGGGCAACCTGCAGCCTATTGGGGTTCTAGGTGTGGCCCAAAACACACTTTGACCTTGTGATGGATAGGAGGAGGGTCAGCCAGCACCCGGTGACTAAAGGATACAACTCAGGTAGCTAAGGGTGTTGTTGGGAGGGAGCCAGAAAAACCAATGGGATACCGTGCTGAAATTTAAATTGTGACTATATACCTGCTGCCATTTCTCTTTGTGTGAGTTTTAAGCCAGGAGTTGGGAGAGAGAGAATGATTTAAACCCAGGCAGGACTACCATGCCTCCAAGGAATTCGGGGCGTGGAAGTGGACTGGACCACGAAGGGATTGTGAGTAAATAAGGGGGAAATGTCATGGTCAGGGTAATTTTTCGTTGTTTGGTTAAACGTCTCAGTGTGAATCCATGCCTTCCGTCCCCCACTCATCATATTTGAGCTGCTGCCCAGACATATCATTATTCTGTGTTTTAATCTGTTCTTTTCACAGTTGCTCTGGAACACCTAGCAACCAAGTGTGCTTTATCAAATATATCTTTTTTTCTTTTGTTAATAAAATCACCTTTTTGAAGGTGACGATTTGATTCTCATGTCCTGGAAGATAACAGGAGGTCGGTGTGCGTGCGCGTGCACGTGCGCCTAGCCTGGGAGGTCAGCTATCAGGGAAACAGTTTTCCTGTGGGTTTTTGTTCGTTTGTCTCTTTTTCAAGTTTTCCTGTGGCTAAAGAGCTTGGGGTACCCCTGTGGAAGAATTTCAAGTGTGTCTTCCTGGTTTTTTTAGGGATTAAATCACTTGATGGTGGCAGCTACCCCCTAAAGTCAGTGAATCTGTGACTGGGGAGTTTTTGTAAGCAGAGCCTATAGAGGTGAGGTATTTAAGGTCTTTTGCGGGCTCCCACTTTCTTACTCCTCCACTGTGGGAGATTGACGGGAGACTCATTGACTTCTCTTAGTCTTCGGGACCCTGTGGAGTACTGAGTCGACGGGGGCACCGTCAGCAGGCGATTTAGTAGATCCTTACTGGAGATTGATGTTTTGGAGATCGATCCATTGGGATTCGATTTAGTGGGTCTAGTAAGGACTCGCTAAATCGCCTGCTGATGGTGCCCCCATCGACTCAGTACCCCACAGGGTCCCGAAGACTAAGAGAAGTCAATGAGTCTCCCGTCAATCTCCCACAGTGGGGGATGCCGCATAAATTCGACCTAAGGTACATCAACTCCAGTTGCTGCAGTTGCATATCTTAAGTTGACTTTCTCCCCTGGTGTAGACCTGGCCTTACTTTACCTTGCCTGTGTGCGGGGTGGCCAAATTTGTCTGGTTTCCATCCTGGTTTCCTCTGGGCCCCTAACTCACAGAAATATCTGTTGGGGGCCATGCAAAAGTGAGAAATGACCCCCCCAAAAAAACCCCAAACACCTCACTGGGACATGACCCCCAACTGAGAAGCAGAAAGACACTCCCCACATTCCCCTCACACACCAGAGCCTAGGGGGGCCTGGGTTAGTAGATTTCATGGGCCCCCTTAGGCTCTGGGAAGGTACCAACAATAAGGGGTTCAGTGTGTGCCAGGAAGTGAGCTTTGGGTGTGGAGGGTTGGTGGAGCTGGGGGGATGGTAGGGTGCAGGAGCCGGCTGGGAGGCTGGGGGGGTGGTAGGGTGCAGGAGCTGGCTGGGAGTCTGGGGGGGTGGTAGGTTGCAGGAGCTG